TGCAAATAAACATTTATTTATTCAACCTTGGATACTATACTGTATGCAGAATTTATTTAGGTGAATTAGGGATTGATTCATGATTATTCATTTGAACAGATAATGAACATTTCAAATTCATGCAATGGAAAGAATAATTTCATTGAGGCACAGATCAACATTCCATTCCGTCAGTCAACGCAGGATGCTATCCTTACCATTCCAATCAGAATTGCTGCACTGTGGATCCCCCTCTCCCATGCTGTATAATAAAATCTTGAATCAATTCCGTGTTTTCTGTGTTGTTCCATTCAGTGTTCATCCAATAGAATCAAACTGTTTTTCATGCGGATGAGCGAAGCAAAGGAGCAGGAAACACATTACATTTAATAGTCTGAAGCTTAATGAGATCTAGTGCGGTATTTCACTGGGGTTTCATCTTGTTGGAGCCAGCCATGCAACATTTATCTCTCTGGGGGAGAAGTTGGTAAGATCATACGGCCGAAGGATTTGGCTTCAGTCATACCATACATAGCTGTATGCCTCAGTCCTGGTATCACTGAGAATGAATGACGGTAATTCAATTCAATTTTCACACTCACTACTAGTGGTTGAGATTTCATGATGCACACTTGACTCCAAATGAGTAAAAGAGAAAATTAGAATGTAAGCTCAGTGCTCACATAAAATTGCATAACAAGGTGTCTCCAACTGTTCAAATTTAAATGGGACACCGTGATGTCCCAAGTGAATTGACCACTGAATGATTGACACAGCTTGCCTGTCTGTAGAGCATGGCCAGGCGAGGCATAACACAATAGCTTACGGTGCATCTTTATCTAACTGGTGAGACAAAGTTGCTGGTGGGTGCATTAATCTGTAGAAATTTTATAATTAATTTCTGAGAATCTACGGCAATAGAATTTCACTGTACTGTACATGTGGGCAGGAAAGGAACAATTTGTAATGCGGATGAAGTACATTTGTTTTGGCCAGGGGGGATATTACTTCCTGAAAGTGTTAATTCAAGGCAATAATCGGCAAAAGTCTTATGGGTAAGGCAACTGAAATGCTACATGTACATGTATTGTACAATAAATGCTCTTGTTTTTCACAACTAGCACTGAGGGTGGAAAAAATGGAAACAGTGTTTCGGATGTGAATCTAACATAAAGCTGAAGTTGGAAACTGCTTGGAGGAGTGGTATGGAGTAAGAAATTCAATGCAACCTGTCATTCTAAATTCTTGCAAAATTGAAAACTGACAATCGGTACACCTGGTACACATTTGTGACCAACTTAAATTTTAAATTTCTTTCTACATGTATGTAATTTCCATGTTTTAATTTCTAAGGGTTTTTGGTACCCTTTCAGTTTTAAGCTAGTGCAATCTGTACAACCATGAGCGTGAAGCACAGTAATTCCAGGAGGAAACTTTAACGGTAGTTATTTCTGCATCTGTGCCACTGCCTAGTGGTTTTATTTATCCACGCCCAGAAATGGAGAGAAGTAAAAGGCGGGAAACCGGATGGCATAGTATGCATACGCTTAATAACATAGTCCCTAATTTACATATCACAACAGTTCCAGTTCATGACAGTAGGCCTATAGGCCTAAGCAAAGCTTTCAAAGTAAGCCTAATGAATAATTTCAGAGCCAAATGTTAAATTGGGTTCACAACTCAAACAGAGAAAATGCCTTGATGAATATCAGGATTCATAAAAATGACATCACATGCAAAGCCTCAATCATTTGTTGGGTAAAAACATGGATAACAAAGAAAACGGATGTCAAACAGTTTACGTTCTCCTGTCGCAGTTGGACATCCTGGAACTTCAGTGCATTTCTGCACACCATCAAATAACCCACAGGGTAATTTTACCCCTTTGCAGTGTGTTAAAAGGCCATAGTGATGTCACGCCAACTGTGAGTAGAAAGTTACACAAAATATGATCTTTGGTAACTTCAAGTAAAATTCCTAAGTAATAAATTGTATTGAGACTACCGGTATATAGAGACAATTATAACACCCTTATAAACACTGACTGGATGTACAACCATGGAGAAATGCCACAACATGAAGAACACAGATAAAGCTATACCAGGCAAGATATGGGACGGAAGGGTACCCCCCTTACCTGTCCAATCCCTATACACACTCTAGACTATTGTCACCTAACACCCCCCCCCCGATGTCTGTAAAGAATTCCTGAGATTCCGATCAAGCAATGACCAACACAAAGGCGGGGGGGGTTCTCTCCGTCCCACATCTTGCTGCAAATGGATAAATCATGTACACACGCCTGACTACCATGACAATATCAGTACACCCTCCACTAACAAGTAACAGTCAACCATAACAACAAAGCTGAAGGTGGCAATGCAGCAGGATCTTTTGAGACAAATGATTTTCTTTCATTGAAGAGGGGGGTTGTAGCCTACATGCCTTAGGCCTAAAGTACCTACTTTGAGAACTCAATGTCAAAGCTCTATCATACTCCGTGTGACTTCCAGCCAACGCGGTTTACATGGTGTCGTAATGCTATATCTAATATTTGTGGTGAAATGGTTCACAGGTGTACCGGTAAGAAAGCTATTAAACCAAATTTTCCTGTGTCAAACCTGATTAATCTATACTTCTAAAAAGCGGGATAACAAAGTTTCAGACGCATGAGATGGAGTATTTTTGAAAAAAAATGAGAGTTTTGTGCATCAATTTATCGCTTCCACCTATTGACTGTCGCTCCATTCATGCCGTTCGTGATTATCTGTCTGCGCATGCGTTGAGCCCACCAATGACTCCGCATCTTGGTTCGACCATTTTCCGCAGCGCAGGATGACATCTTGTGTTGATTTTATTGTGGGACCGTCCTGGCTGCAGCTGTGACCTGGAAACACCCATCGGGCAGGACGTGCGACACATGTTGTGCTGTATAGCGATGACAGATTGCGAGAAAATCTCCCCCGTCACCAAAAATGGTCAAACCACGATGCCGAGCAAGCACAGTCTTTGGTAGGCCCGACGCATGCGCAGTCTGATAAACATGAATCATCAACGGCATGAACGGAGCGTCAGTCAACAGGTGGAAGCGAGAAATTGGTGAGCAAAAATCTCATTCTTTTTCAAAAATACTCCATCTCATGCTCTGAAACTTTGTTATCCCGCTTTTAAGAGGTATAGATTAATCAGGTTTGCGGACAGAGGAAAATCTGATTTTATAATCTAGCTTTCTTACACCTGTGAACCATTTCACCACAAAAATTTGATTCCAAAACCAATAGGCCTACTCTCCTTAGCCTAGCGTTAGTTTACGACACCACGTAAACCGTGTTGGCGTTAAGTCACACGGACATGACGAAGTGCATGATGTAGGCCTAGAGACTTTGAGTTCTCGAAGTATAAAGTACCCACCATTGAGCCATCATTCGCTGGGAATGGGTGTGACGCCGGTGCTCCTTTTCTACGCACTGGTTTCTGTCGGCTTTTCTCTCAAACCCGGATGTCTTCCGGCTTTGACGATGTCTTTCAATGCAATTCCACCTTCCTTGTACCAACCAACACAAACACAGACTAGCGGCAAGTGCTAAGCCACGGCATGGGCCAATGTTACGGGAAGGTTCTCATTTTTAAAACAAATCAAGAGGAAGGAACAGCATCGGTGAGGTTTAAGATGCTATCTGTACTGGTCTGAAGACCTTGCTGTCACTACCTGTCAAATTGTTTCCACAATTAGCTTCGCCGGTGTGGCCCAATTTCGTCAGTTTTCTTTGGGACGTCACAGCGCTGTAGGACATGTGCCGCTACGCACTTCGCGTTTTGGAGACAAACGTTTGAATAGTCCGGACGCACCCTTCACTGTCGCTTTGAATGGGAGGGAGCTTGCGGCGGCGGCGGCGCGACCATTCCCACGCAGTGCAGTGTTTATCACATGTCACATGGAAACAATGTCATGTGATTTCCACAGGCTAAAATTGATTGAATCCGGTTGATGAATGAGCTAGTCGCATGGTGGCGCTCTTCATCTCAACTTTACTTTAATCGGAAAAAGGATCGATTTCTTCTTTCAAAACCACCAGGCCCTAAGCTAGTTTACAGACCACAGATTGGTGGTCTGTTGCCAAAAAAATACCTCCAAAATAGTTTTATTCATTGGGACATTCATCAGTCAAATGCGTGACATAAAAAAAAACAGTTAACAAAAAACCCATGAAGGGGGTTTCATCCACATAATTCTAGCCTTTAGGGCATGATTTATCATATGGCCAGAACGGAAGAACGGACTGCAGAATTTATTGGAAGCCGAGTACTTGCACTTGTATTTACAAATTTCAAGGAACAGAAACAATCAATAGTTAATTGACTGCGCTTAGGGCCTACTAATTTTCCCAACCATTCCATTGTGCATTCCAAAACGATTTATTGTAGAATAGTTGACAGTATGTGATATGGTTGAAAATATACAATATTATTATTAGCACATATACAAAACAGACGGCAAGATCTCTGACTTTTCTTTTTAATAATACATGAATGCAATACCGGCGTTTCACAATAGTGCGCTTCCAAGAGTACGCAACATGTTGGCCAATCGCAATGCACGAAATCTGTCCACCTGGTGCACGTTTGGAAAAGGTTGACAGATTTTGTGTTTTGATTGGCCAACATGTTGCAAACTCTTGGAGGCACACTACTGTGAATAGCCTGTATTGAAGTACATCAGGTTTTCAAATGGAAGATATCTTTTAATCTGCCTTCCCTAACACTTGGCGAACCATGTCCAAGATGCACATTAAACAGGTAGTTCATCCTAACCTCAAAGTGATGCATCAACAACATGGTAAGTTGATTTTTCATGCTGCACAGTTACTCAATGCCTCAGCTTAAATAAGATAACATAACACAGGTTAATATTAAGATCATAAAAGTGGCTTGTACACACAAATTTATGTGCATGATGCACTTAAGGTAGGTCAGGTCGATTCTAATCGAGTTCTTTGTAAATTAAATAACAAAAACTCTGATTCAAATGCTTGTCAGTACTGTGTCATCCTTTGCTGCTTGTCATTTTATTGACTTCATCAGTTTGGTTCCATATGTAAGCTTTTAGTTAATGTTTAAAAAGCTGTGAAGTGTTCTGATCCATCCAGCAAACTTATTCAAGATCTCCACCCAGTGTCTCATCTGGCGACCTGCCCGCGTGTCCGGAGAAAAATTGAAATTATTCTGGACAGGTAGTGCTCGCTTGAATAAAAGTTACAAACCCCCCCGTTTCTTTCACAAATCTTCACCACAGGAGAACAGATCTTTACATCTTCATTTAAAGCAGTGGTTGTAATGAAAACATGAACTCAGACAGATGATTTGTAACAGTTTCAAAAATTTTTCTAGGAGAGGGCAGGCAGTATTTAAAAGTGTGTGCCGAACTCAGGCAGATATTTCAATCCTAGATCTATCTTTGTATGAGTCCCCAAACACAGTAAAATAATTTAATGATTCGAATGATAGATACTTTTGGACCTACTGTGCACCTTTTAAATGCTATTATATTATTATTAAAGTATGTCTTTAATTGGAGAGCCTGCTTGATGTGTGACTGGCCAATTATCACACAATGAACAAAATTGTGAACGTCTTAATCAAAGAACAAAAAATACAACAGGTGGAGATTGGAACTTCAACTCCACTGGCTACCATGGGCATGTTTCCCAGCCTTTCTTGTATCAGTCTGGTTGAGTTTCAAATGATAGATCTTCCAAAATATAAAAAGACAAAATTCTCTGAGGACTTGTAAACATTTGCTAACCCCATATTCATCATACTGATGTGGGTGCCCTCTGTATGTATCTTTATTCAGTAGCTTAGGGGTCACCTTTGGTGTTCCATAGTTATTTTGGGAATGACAACGCTGGAGGGGCCCACAGACGTCCCCACACAACACAGTCCATGATTTCCTCTCAAGATGTATTTTCCCCACGACCAGACCAGAGTCTAGGCTAGGCATACGTCCTTGCTAGGTGTCTGTAAAGATGTCAGCCAAACCCCCCCCCATCGCCATGGCAACCATTTAAACGTCAGCCATCGGTATCCGTCTTACTGTTGCTTCCCTTCAAGTATCCATACAGGTCGTGCCGTCGGTGTTCCATGACAGGCATCTCAGTTCGAACTCTACGCAGGTAACTCAGGTCGATGTCACCAATGGCAACATCTAGACCGTCATGACAACAGGCGACGACGCAGCCCCACGGATCAACAATCTACGAGACAAGACATTGATAATAACCCATTAAAAACCCTATCAGATTCTAAGTTGATTAAAGGTCAGCAAAAATGCAAATAGGTGATACTGTGGCATTTACTGGAAAATCCCAAATGCTCAGGTACATAAATTATCATTTCAATTCCATTGTTTTTCGTTGTGAATGTTTCCCAATGTCAAATCTGATTCACATCCAGCCTTGGGTTAATTTGAGAAGTCTTTCCTGCGTGAGTTGTGTTCATCTTTTCACAGAGGGAAACGCTTGAGCAGTTAAGCTGGCACACCGATGAACCCTTCCCACAAATCCCATGTCATAAGCTATCTTGAATTACTAGAGCACTAACTTCTTATTCTCTCCGCGGGGAGAAAATTTGACGCCGTCCCTTTGTGCAGACATTTTGAATCCATGCTTGTGCTTGTAGAACATAGAACATTCGAAAGATAGAATGAATTGAATATCACTCCAAATAAAACGCGCATCAGATTCTGCTAAAAGCCGATTGAAAACATCACAGCAAATTTATCTGCAGAGCATATGCATTCGCATTGTTTACACAGAGCAAAATGAAGCGCTCATTTACTGATTGTGCCTTAATTTTGTGCTTACAGGCTTTGTTGACATATCATTTCAGAATGCAGATGCAAATATGTAAATTGCTGTACACGAGCCGTACAAAATAGTTTCCAGTTTTCCACAGGTTTGTGCCTAAGCATGGATGCGCCAAGCAGGCATCACTTTTTTTAGCGCTCTAGTTTTTATGTATAGCTCTATGATTTCGACAGAATTCTACTAATTGGTTTGCTTGGAACAAACCAAGTTAGGATGGACCCAAAGTCCAAGTGTAATGCTCTGCCTATCAAGGCGTTCTATTATCAATGATCACCATTCAGTGCATCAGCATTCACTAAGGAGTTACGCTCTGTAAGTGTGTCATGCACACATCCATACAAGCAAACTTCCTTCCTATACTGTGACAAATGGACAACAGTTCAAAATTTCTATTCAGTAGCGATTTTTTCATCATTGTAACAAGACTATAAACTGTGCCCAGATATCAACAAATCTGGCGAGACGCCATTCCGAGGGGCCGTTTACACTCACGCAGCTGTCTCAACCTGAGCGTGAGTGCGCACTTTGGCAATTGACTACTGCCTATTGGTCAAGGAGGAATTCAATGCGTGCGCATCGCCTGCGTGTGAACAGGATGGCCCCGTAGTAATGGCTTCTAATTTGGGTCGTCTGATTTGTCTATACATGTGTAGTCGCTTACCACTAATGAACAGTACACATATCATGCCGAGTGTGATTTGTACAATACATACCATGGCCCGGCCGTAGGACGCTCTTTTGTCGTTGTGTTTACCAGTTTGTGCTGCAGCGATCACGTAACACTGGTTCTCTATGGCTCGGCTACGCAGGAGAACCTGGGAGAGTTGTTGGAAACAGTGGTTTGTTACTGATAGTGGGCTGATGCAGTGGTCTGTCAAAACGTTCTGTGTTTTGGCGCCTGTGCTTCGCTTTTTAAGCTTGAACTTGCGAACAGAATTATTCAATGGCTGAATAAACCTATCCATTCGATTGGTGGATCGTTGATCACGTGATCATGATGTCCCAGTGCACAACAATGCCCAATAGCCAAAACAGAGGTTCCATTACACTGGCAAATGGAAGTTACATTTCTACAGGTATACTGAATTTCTAAAGTTCTCAATGATGATCAGATTTACTGAGGTAGGTTGAATTGAAATTTGTTCAGATGACGTGGGGATTCATTCACCTGAAATTCGCACTAGTCAACAACGGTAGGGCTAGATTGCATGCATGAAAGACCAGGACAGAGTGACCAGCTTAAATGCTTTTTCTCAATGACCTTATACGTGTACGTCATAGCAGGTTGGAAGGGCTGGATGGTGATATTTACATGATCATAGCTCAAGTGCAGCTTATTTGCTCCTCACCATCAGAATGCATCACAAAATTAATTCCATCTAAGGCTTTTGATCACGCTTTGTACAAACTTGTCACTCTGATAACTTTCAATTGCCTTTTGAGTTTAAACCTTTCTCAAATAGGAACAAATTAATGCAAAGCAGGTCTCAGCCTGAAAAGTATGAGGTGACCCCCCCCCAAAAAAAAATGATGGGGGAAATGTCAGTACCTCCCAATGTGCCATTCCTGTGAACTGGGTGAACGCTGAAGGGTAGGTTAAAATCTCTGCTCCTTGCTGTGTTAAGAAAGTGGACATTTCTGGAAACCGCAGATCGTAACACTGAGGGCACAGGCAGATTTAAGGACAATGATATTCCCTTCTGTAAATTCAGTCATAGAGATAATTTTTGGACAATATTTGTCAATCAGTGTTGACAATATTTGATTATATATTTAATCTCAACAACAGCAACACAGCCTCTGAAAACAATGATTGGTGTGCAGTCAGAGGTCAATTTGTTTTTAAGTTGCAGGTTTTGACGTTGGAGTCAGGCAATCAAATAAAGTCAATCAGAAAGTGAAAGCAGAAGTTCTTTTTTGGCAGTGTAGTTCCTATAATATCTTGAATAAAGGTTTTAGAATACAGTTGAAATACAAAACAGTAGAAAGTTTCCAATTTCGTTGAAGTATATTTTACTTCCAAATATTTAAATCCAAAAATAAATATTCTAACATTTAATGTTCAATTAAAAATTTCTGTATTCCACCAACGGCATAAATACAAGGGTTGGGATACGGTTGGGAGGTATATATCCTCCCCCCACACTTTTGACAAGATTACAATCAACCTGTAACCAAGGGGATAAGCCAATGGATCATAACTCCCCCCTTTTATGGTGAGAAAATAGGGTAGATTTTGAGGTATAGTTCAAAGTTTCCAACAACAGAAAATAGCAATGAAAAAAGGGCGACAAAGTACAAAAGCTTTACATAGAAGCATTTCTGAGAGTGTGGAGTGGAAGTATACATAAGATGCACATTTGAACCATCTAACGCTTTTGGAATTTACACGGCTGGGCAATTTTTTTGTACATGTATTTAGGTCATTGCTATCCCCCCAATTTCGCAGCACGGATTTACGCAACAGTTTTCTGCACAACCTTAACATTAATCAGTTCCAAGAAGGTTAAGCCCAACTTGTTTATAGCATGAGAAACAAAATAATGAAATGATGCGTAAGGATACAACCATTGGCGCTACTTTGCCGATGGGAGTGTCAACAATGTCACTCATGTGTTCACCGTGAAGGATGAAACTTGACTCTCGCAGGTTCATTCGACCTTCGATTTGAACTTCAAACAGATGTGTTTTGTGATACACGGATGCAATTTCTCCCTCTGGATTGAGAAGAACATGGCTGCAGTAGCTTCTGTCACCGACTGGCTGTACTGGTCCCTGTGGGGAGAAAGAAAAAAAAACACCTGAAATACATGCACGCGTCCAGACACAATGTCCCCCTGGATTGAGAAGAGCATGGCTGCAGATCACCAACTGGCTGTACCGGTCCCTGTTTGAGAAAAAAGACATAGACCTACACCAGAAATACACAAACAAGTCCAGACACACTCTGGATTGAGAAGAACATAGCTATAGTAGCTTCTGTCATCGACTGGCTGTACTGGTCCCAGTGGGGAGAAAAGAGATATACGCCTGAGATACATGCATGTGCCCAGACACAATTTTTTTCCTCTGGAATGAGAAGAACATTGCTGCAGGAGCTTTCATCCCCAATTGCTGTACTACTCCTTGTGGGAAATAAAATATCATTTTTTACTGGCAAATTATGGAATTTTGGGGATTCAACCCTCCCTCCCATGCCAAAAAATTAGAAAAGAAAGTGAAAAGCAACAGCAGGAACTTGGTGATTGCCTCAACCTTGAGCACTAAACCACCTCCCTTGAGCCAAACCTAGACCTGCCTCTCCTATTAATCTAAGCCCAAGGGCTCAGAACAACTGTTTCCCACCAAACATGACTGATATAGGCGTAAGGCAGCACATGCAAATTTTATAGAAATATGAACAAATCATTTCTTGTACCAAAGCTTGCTGTTCATCTACAAGGAGCACTGAAGTCCTAAGGCAATACATACCATCTCATGAATGCCTCCCAGTGATATCCACACATTATGCTGTCGGCATAGCTCTCGGTAACCCGTGACTGTCTTGCCAGTCAGAGGCTCGGCCATGCTGGTCGACTCCTCTGGGGAACTGCCAATGTAGTCCACACCCTCGGGCAAGAAGACCACCTGTACCGTCCAAACAGAAACACAGGGTTGTATTTTACAATCTGCCCTGTGCAAAGGTATAACCCCTCCAACACCTGAGGGCAGTGGGGAAGGTTTCAAAGGGACAACTGGCATACAAGCCAAGACAACCCATTTAATCAGGAAGTGGTTAGAAATGCACAGCATACCCTCTGCCAAACAAGCATGAACCTGTACAGGCATGCTGTGTTTCCCAACCAAACAAATGCCTTACTTAAAGACACACCTTTTGTTTGCGTTGGGTTTTCTAGGTTATGATAACAACAAAAGATCAATTCCAGAAGACATGAACAGATCCTTGGTAGGTTCTTTTTGTGAATGTCCTCAATCTGAATGGAATGGCTCACACAGAGGACTCCAAGTTATTGTTTAAATAATACTTTTGTTCATATCTCTATATAACTCACATAGTTTTTATGCAGTTTCAAACTGAGTACAGCTTGATAACCGAGGACCTACTGTCTTCACTCCATTTACATACACAAATCACTAAGCGTATTAACAATGAGTAGTGCACATGTAGAGGACATTTTCCAGAAGTTTTCATAAAAAATATTCAGACAATTTAATGACAAATATACATTTGTTCAGCTGAGAGTGGAATATGGACGCTTCCGTCCAAAACATTATTGCAAGAGGGCTAATTGTTTGCATTAGTTTTCATCGGAATGTGTATAAACCCATAGAGTCTAGGCATTGGTGCTAAGCAAAAGGTGGCATTAGCAAGTCTGGTGGTGGGTCCGTTCCCTGCTAGTGTCTACTTCCACTGGATAGAAGCTTGTGGAAGGAGACCATTAATGGTCAAGCTGACCTGGATGTACCTTGGCACCCATCTTGGCAGCACGTTGGACCAGATACGAACCGGCCCGGAAGTTGGCATCTTTGTCTGCGGTGGCTGTCATCTGACACACGGCTGCCAGGTTGACGTCCTCACGGAACCCCTTCTCCACTTCTTCCATTGTAAAGAGTGCCCTCTGCTGTCGTTGCTGGCAGACAATGGAAGCGATTGGGAGTTTCGGGTGAATAAATTTGGTACGTAGTGCTTTGCAGAGGAAGAGGTTTACAGATTTGACAAACATAGCAACAGCGGGCCTCAATGATTACGATGAATACGATGACAGTTGTGGCTATGGAAATTTTTGTACCCGTGTGCTGGGACAACCATCACGACTTGAAGAAACTGGAAGAAAAAGGTTGAACGGCAAAGAGCAAAGTTGATTAATAACAAAGCACTTGTAAATTTTGCCATGAACTGGTTCTACTTTTTTCAGTTATAAAACTTAAAGAGTTAAGAGTGAAAATTGTTAAAGAATTTTTCTCCAAAGAGGTTGCTTTAATATCACCCTAAAGCTTTCCAAAAACCGTATATTTACCGATGTACATGTATGGTGCCTTGAAAACTGGGCCTGTGATATTTATATGCTGACCATGGGCCGGGCCACTTTAAAAAATATGAAAGCATCGCTTGTTGCGTCGGATTTCAAGGCTACCAACAGGCGCTCAGGTACGGTTCAGGTTGTACCATACATAACTGGTTGGAAAGCTTCAGGGTGCTCATATAAAAGTCCAAACTCTGAGGAATACGCCGGTGTACGTAAAATTGTCAAGTCATTCTCATTTCAGAAGATATTAGGATTCAAAGTTTGTGACAATCCTGCAGTTTGGACTCCAGGCATTTAACTAGACGTGCCTTGAAGTAGGGCTATGGTGGCAACACAAACGAGACAAATTGTAAAAGAGAGCCACTACAGCCCTACGTGTGGGGCTAGCATGCATACATGCTCATCATTAGCTGGAATCTTGTTTTGTTTGGTTTCATCAAACCGCAAGTCAACAAACTTTTGTCAAACGGTGATGGATACATTGTACATCATGTATGTCACAAGTTCAAAAGGTAAAGTCTTTGTAGTAGAAAAATATAGACTTGCACAAGTAAACCGACAAAATTTAAAGAAAAAAAATTGCCTCAAATATTTTTAATGAATCTTCATATGTTTATGGAAAAACACAAACACATTTTTATTCATAGCTTGGTGTGTACACTTCTAGGTTTTGAGAGCTGACTTTTGGTGCTTGATTTTCATATGTAAAATTACTCATCAAAAATAAATCTTGACTTTTGGCGGTTAAAGCTAACGCATCTAAAGCTGTTAACTCTAGACCAATACAACACTAAACAACACTGTTACTGTTCAGTTCTTTTGTCCAATTTGTCTTTCATTTTAACATGTCTTTGAACAGTGGAAACACTAACGGTTGCAGGAAATTTTAAAATGGCGGCCATCTTGAAAAGACTAAAAAATATAAAAAGCCTGCTTCCTCTTTTTTTTTCAAAAATCCAGACAAGAAACATGTGTTTTTGCTTTAACTTCACCTTAAACCCGACTGTCTCTCGTACATTATTTTATAAGACACGTAAGACATCACAACAATCATGATAATGTCAATGTTTGCATGAAACCAAGAATTAAACATGTAATCCTGGTAATACACTACCCCCAGATAGAAGTGTGGGTTGGTGGAGTGTGGGGTCCGACCATGCCGACGTCCGCCCAGCTCCCACGACATGCACGAACGTTCGTCAACTGACATGAAGGGCGGCGGACGACAAAGCCCACAAGTTCTGGGGCATGTGGGGGGTTGTCACGCATGTCACGGCGTACATATTTTTACATAAAAAAATGCCAAAGTTTCAATTGATAAAACGCAGTTGATAAGCAAGCTCAGTGCAATACCAGACAAGTTTAAACAGTAAAACCATCTGGGAGTCGATAAATGAGACAACTTACCCCTGTTCAAAACACACATTCACCCACCCACACGTTGGTCTAAAACGTACATAATGTGTATACTGCACTGTACACGTACATTGTGCATAGAAGCCCCTTCTCCAAAACTCGGCTTCATCTTTCAGGCTGTCTTTAGCCTCGCAACGACGTACCCTAATAAAAGCAAATGGGAGAGTTAAAAAAATCCTTAACCACACAGTTTCTGTTTTTATTTCTATGGCCTTTCTGAAGCAAAAGATTTACGAGAATTCGGCCAAAATTGTCAAAGTCGAGATTTTCACCAGAGTCCATAAACAAAGCGCACTTGAGATTTGAAAAATGTCTTTAGTCTTGTTTCCTTCTCGCTATATAATATTAAAAGTTTGCGCTTTCTAGTCTGTACCCACCCTTTATTGCATTCCTTAAAAGTTGAGCTTTTCAGGAGCTGGTCCACATACTCCATGGATTTAAGGATTTGCATTAGTGAATAAAGTACGAACAACCGAATTCTTCTCACAAAATCAAAACGAGGCTGTGTCGTTCACTAGGGACGCCACTTTGAATCGAAGGCCTTAATTTAGCTTCTCGAATTCGCTTTACAATGCTGAAAGTATGAAGAAAATTTTCAAAAGTGGTAAGGCGAAGGTGAAAGGTCCCGCCCCAGCGCCAACTGCTGATGCAGAATTCGATCCTCCAGGTTATTCAGTGAAAGAAAAGGACTTACCGAAATTGCACAAGTCGGCCTGGGGCGGGGAGTTGGCGAAAGTGCAACAACTGAGCAAAAAGGGAGATGTCAATCAACTTGATAAAGAGAACAGGTAGGCCTAGGCCAGACTTGACCTGTTCGCTGTTGACATTGTGCTGGACTAACAAACAAATTAATAATTTTTGATTACAAATTTGGACATGTTGGGAGAACCATGTTAAATGACTTTAATTTAATAACTGGCATCACATAAGGATGGTTACATGGTAGTCGTGGTAGGCCAGTACAGAAGGCAGTACAGGCCCGAGTTAGGCTGGGGGGTGTGTTCCTTCCTCCATGGTTCGAATGAACCCTCCCCCGACTCACTTCTGAAATCTGAGTTCCGCTTGGGGGTGTTTTTTTTAAATTATATAATCATGATAATCCAGTTTTAATTATAATTAATTAAAGCCGCTGCAGTGTCCATAAAAACTCTATGCTTCACTTGATAGCCATGACATGATAGCCTAATTAAGTAAACAAAAGCTACCATTAATGTGCAATTCAAAAAATGGCACATTATCAGCCAGAGTGATCATGGTGATTTGAATTATTTAGGAATAAAGGCATGGTTTTTAGGATACAACATGAAGTTTGAAAATTTTGAATAAATTTAGGCAAGTGAATGTCATTGTGCATGTATGTCAGCCTCATGTCTGTGTTGGGAGCGATTGGTAGATATGAGCAATTACTTGATCTTAGTGCATGATTGGACAATAATTCTTGCATTAGCCAATCGCCTGATTGCTTTCAAAAAGGGAAGTAAAATTGGAAAATTTCAGGCAGAATTGACTTTGAATCATGCAGAGCCTTCATGCAATGGGGCAGATCAGCTGATTGTGCCCGACATTTATATTTCCAATTTGTGTTTGGGGTTGTGTTTTGTTTCTAAGCTGCGTTCAGGTTTGTGAAATAGTGACCTAGCAGCAAACTCATCACTGACGAAATACGTTTTAGACAGACATGGCAGAAGATGGTCAGTGAGACAACATTCGTGACATTCATGTTACCTGCAGGTGTACGTGAGCTGGATGGGTAAAATACGCTGCCACTGTTCGACTACATGTCTCAAATACTTGTATACGATTCTGCAGTGGTTGAAATCGGGGATATCTCACAGAACATGTTCAGGACCTACATGTACACAGGGAGCAACAGGATCAGTCATTTCCAGGAAATTTGAGGGAAAAACTGAGTCCAAAATTCTGGCACGCATATTGTAAAGAAGAGCAATGTTTTTCAAGCAGGACTTTATAAAAGTAAAATATACTTGTTGGAATTTCCAGTCTAGAGTTTGTAATGTAGCTGTAAAGATCTCTTTGAACTTGTCTTTCTTCAGAACTGCTCTTCATTTGGCTTGTGCTCATGGCCACAAAGAGGTCGCAGCATTCCTGGTGTCAAACAAAGCTAAGCTGAACCTCTGCGACAATGACCAGCGTTCACCTCTTATGAAGGTACATGTACGTTGTACTTGTGACGGCATCAGGTTCAACCTGACGTCCTTGCCATTTGTGAAGTCCCCGACCCCTTTAAATGTGCAGGAAACCGATGACGTAATCTTCATACATTGTACGTGGGTACGCTTAAATTTTTGAGCAGCATCGTCAAGCCCATCCTTGCAAAATCCTCCTAGACTATTTAATGGATTCAGTGGTATCTAGGAGGTTGAGGGCATTTCATAGAAGGTACTGTACGTCACCTTTATTGCCATCTTCACTGGAGGTTTGGTCAGAAATTTGTTGGCTGTATTTGTCTCTGCTGCAACCAGTTTTTGAAATAAGTCCGAAATTTAAGGTTTCAAGTCACAGACTTTTGTGTCGTGTTGCTTCGACCCTCGTGCATTATTTTTACCATTGAAATCGGGTAATAGATGTTTCTGTTGAATTCCTTGGCTTTCAGCCCTTGGACCATGCATTTTGATTCAACCATACAAACAAGCAGGTTTGATTCTGTAGCTAACTGCCGGGGGGGAGACTTCTGTTATTTGAAGATGACGCCATTGTTTACTCTCCACCAATATGACCAAGATGTTTCTGCTTAATTTTTTTTTCAGTACGATCTGAGAGGATTGAGAGACACAGTCGGCTACTGTGTAATTAAGGAATCAGAAAAAAAATTCCTCCAAAAGCTTAAATGTACATGTACCTTACATATACCTTCTGGTTGTATCTATACATGCACTTTACTTTTGGGGATTTCATGTTGTACAATCACATGGTCAGTGCATCTTAAAGTTAACAATGAAGAGTTCGTCATGCATATTTGTAGCCGAACTCGGTCATCTTTGAAATGTCAATGCTGTCATGATGTGCACAGGCTGCCCAGGGTAACCATGTGGCTTGCTTGGAGACCCTTCTGAGGAACAAAGCAGACCCTAACCTGGTGGACAAGGACGGCAATACTGCCCTGCACCTCGGTGCCCATGGGGGCTTTGTGGATGTCGTTCTCCTCCTGTTGAAGGGTGGGGCTATGGTCAATGCCCCCAACAAGGTGGGCCAACATTTTTTTGGTGTATCCAGAAAACCTTGTCCTGTGTTGCCGTCCAAGAAGATCTGTATTGAAAATTTCAGTTTCAGTGGAAGACTTCCAAATTTCACTGCCTCATATACAGTGGAGAAATGCATGTGCGTTTTGCATTGGTATGGTATTTCAAGATGTGGTTCTGACCAAATTAGGTAACTTTTAATCCCATTTCAATTGATATTAAGAAACCATGGGATATATTGTATGGAGAAAATTATGACATTGCAGTTTAAAAATTTCCAATTTGCCTTCATGCATGCCATAATGAAAATGTTTTACCTCTTCTCAACCAAGCATGGCTTTCCCAAGGCTAAACATAGTTACAGGTATTTGTCAATGGCAAAAAAGAAATCAAAATTATTACCGAAACTTTCTGTCCGATGCAGGCAGGGACCAATTGGAATCTCTGTTTCCGTTACATGGTGTTTCGTTTATTTCTTAGAATGGAAGTACACCGTTGCACTTATGCACAGAGGCCAAGCAGGATGTCATGGCAGAGGTGTTGCTGGACAACGATGCTGATGTCAATGCAACAAACAACAACAACAGGTAAATGGGATGGAAATTGGGCAGGAACTTATAATGGGACTGCATGGCCCTTCACAAGTGCCAAGAGAAGGCACGCCACTGTGTGGGCATGGTCAGTTTTCAGCTGAATGGGTACAAATCAGCAGCACCTTAACCTGAATGGGTTAGATTATATACCAGAAAACATTGAAAAATACCGAAAACCACCGGAAAACTACTGAAAAACACAGGAAAGCTACGGAAAAAATACCGGAAAGCACTGGAAAACATCGTAAACACCAGAAAACCCCCTAAACACTAGAAAACACTGATATCACCGATAAACACCCTAAACACCGAAAAACACAGGAAAACTACCGGAAAATACCAGAAAACATCCTAAACACCGGAAAACACCGAAAAACCACCGAAAAACACCCTATACACCGAAAAACACACTAATTACCAGAAAAACCACCGAAAAACACCCTATTACCGGAAAACACCCTATACACCGAAAAACACACTAATTACCAGAAAACAACCTAAATACCAGAAAACACCGAAACCAATTACAAACCAGAAGACCTTGAAACACCTGCCAACTGCTGGAAAACGTACAAAAACGAAAGTTATCAAATGCCGCCAACCAAAAAAAAAGTCAAGAAAGCCCAACAGATGAACAGAAAGCACCTAACAGGTACTGTTAATCACCAGAGGATGGCCGAAAACCACCTGCCACCTTTTGGGAAGCCCCAAAACACATGAACTTGTGCTGTGAACTTCATGGTATTCAGCCCTTGGGTACGCATCTCACGTTCAAATTTCCTTTAACCACTTTGCAGACTGGCTTTTTACGAGTATCTTTTCACACCGCCCCTCTGATGTCAGAAATGGAACAACCGATTAACTTGAAAAAGAAATTATGTTTGGCTGTTGAATGAGTTATGCACCAATCGTCTCCATATAGTTAGTTATGTCAAGTTTGATATGACTTAGAGAGATAGACTGTCATGTACACCAGTTGTTCAGTGTGTTCATTTTGATATTCTGTTTTAACATAAAACTATTTTTTGTATATATGCTAACTGGATTAGCCCCCCTTTTTTCCTTTTTTTTTCCATGTGTGCATGTTGCTGTTTTTTTTTTCTTATGTGTTTTTTTTAGCTGTTTTGAAGTTGTATAAATTTGGGACGAGAATATCTGGTCCGAATCTGTATCGGGGGCAGAGAAGGCTACAAGGGGAGTACATCAAAAATCATTACCTTCCACCGTTGCATACTTATTTCCTCAGTGATGAGGATACATCATCATCTGTCCTCGGGGAGTAAGTTTTTCAAGAAAGTCAACCAGGAGTGTAATCAAGTAGTAACGTTCTTTGTTCGCTGTCTGTTGGTGACATTGCTCATCTCCCTAACGTTCTTTGTGATGTACCACGGACATACAGTATGCTTGCTGCTCATATCAAACACTTCCCTTTAGGTATGAATGGTTGATCTGCAACCCTTCATTGTATGATTGCTTATAGTAAAAGAATGAATACACGAATTTGGTCCAAAAGTGATAACATGATTCATTTCGATAGGCCTATTTGAAATCGCTTAGATATTAACAATTAATAGTGTTGCAGAAACACATTTGCTACGATCTGAGTTTGTTTTCCGAACATTCCATGCACTAGAGTATATGTCCGTGACATGCACGATCGGAAACATGGCAGATGTCTCCACATCGTTATCAACCTGACTGAAAAAGTGAAATATGTGAAATAGCTGAAAGGAACGTATAAACCTTGTCTGTTCCATTTCAGTGTAGTTTTCATGGTTGAGAGTCACCCATTCGCCTCAAGACAGTAGTTTTTCTCTGTCTCCTCTTTGTATGAAAAACTCTTGACAGGCCCGCCAAACTTAGAAACAGTTAAGCTTCGGGCAAAATACAGGGAAGAATTCGCTTATAAGTGAAAGCCCTAGTAAAAAACAGCAGGCAAGCCGGAATTGTTACAGTAATAAAGTTTCTTGGTGAAAGAGGTTTTTTATTGGGGTTATTTTGCTGCGATTATTTAGTTTGGACAGATGATTGGCAGTTGCTCATTTAGCATTAAAATCATATCACTTTTTGGCTACAAAAAACACGTTTTACCAAGCAAAGTGATTTTGTGCATTTTCTCCACGAAATTGTGTGTGTTTTACAATGTCACATATTCACTTCATATATTTATTCTTTTAGATATGAAAGCGTAACATGTTTTATTACGTAAATCCAACCAAATGAAATTTACATTAGGAAAAAATTTCAAAAGGCTTACAAAGTCAGCCTGTAACCGAACACGTCTTGCATAGGTCAAAATCAGGAAACACTTTTCAATGTGCCATGCACCGACTTGTAAAAGTGCATCATCGCAGTCTTCCCAGTATAATTGAATCAGAATCAGGTCGATGCAACATTAATACTTCGGCCGTGCGTAAAATACGCGCTTTATATGTGGAACAAAATGTAACTCCATTTCTGTGGTCCACGTGAACGTGCCAAATCTGCTCGTGCATAAGGTGTTTTCTGGCGTTTAGGGTGTTTTCCGGTGTTCAGGGTGTCTTTTGGTGGTTAGGGTGTTTTCTGGTGTTTTGGGTGTTTTCCGGTGTTTAAGGGTGTTTAAGGTGTTTTTCGGTGTTTAGGGTGTTTTCCGGTATTTTTCAGTGTTTTCCAGTATATAGTAAAACCCACCTTAGTATGGGTACATTTGTTTGGGCAATGTGAGTACATGTACATATCACCATGCCCGTGTCTCTTTGAAATTGTTGAAGAAGCTCATGAAACACAAACAGTCGAAACCACTTCTTGGTTATGACAGCCAACACTCACTCCTACAGAGTCAACCTATTATTGGAGTGGGCCTTTTGAGCCAAGTGTCTGATGAATGTGAACGAAATTGTAGAGCACTGGTTTGCAAATGATGGTTCACTTTAGCTTAATAAAAATATCTCAAGAGAACTGAACCAGATTTCCAGTATCACGTTTTCTTTCTTTTTTAACAGGACTGCTCTGATGCTGGCATGCCAATCGGACCAAATTGGTCTGGTCAAGTTGCTGTTGGAGCAGAAGGCAGACACTGAGATCAAGGACAGCAAGGGATGGACAGCCAATGACCAGGCCATCATGGGAGGATTCCATGGGTACCGTATACGTTATTCCAGCAACCGGCATTAGATTCAATTATGGCAGTGGTATTGCACTCACTTGCAGGTGGTGTGCGGGCGTTATGTACCTCTTTGACCAATAGGGTATTTTAACTTGTTAAAGTGCTTGTACGCTCAAGTTTAAGACTCTGTCTGTGAGTTCGGCAATACTGCAGTAATTTTCTTTCCTCCGATTAATCTAGAGATAGCTTCTCAGAACCTGGAATGTTTACAGTGTTCAGATTGGAATTATGCCTGGACTGAACACGCCTAAAACATAATGATGTCGCACTTTGTATATATGCGCTTCTCTGAGGGGATCGATGGATGGCGTCCCATCTCGCTACTACTGCAAAGCCCAACATTATTGGGAACTAGGAACACTCGGTGTACCAATATGGGATCATTTAATTTAGCCTGTGTCCGAAACGGGCTTCCAGAGCTACGACAAGGACTATTGTCTACGCGTCTCCACGCAGTTGCAATGGAGTGAAAACCTAGACCTAGCTCTAGACAACAGATTCGGATGCAGCCCCAGATTCATGAAGGCTAATGGTCAGGGTCAATAACTTGGCTTTGACTATAAATAACACATTGTCCTACAGAAATTGCCACTTGTACTCAAGTCAGGGTCTCCCCGTCTATTCAAGTGCGAGGCGGCCCGCTTCACTGATTTTAGTGATTACCTCAGGTTTTTCTGTTGAATTTTACCACCTCACACTTAAAATAGACAAAGATATATAAAAAAAAATAAATCAGTTTCAAATGGTTCAGAATGGTAAAGAGGTCTGACATAGCATACAAGATGGATTTATTTGAGAGCGGAAATTTGGAGTAAATGTACTGTTATACTCTGTAGAACTTTAAGCCTTGTTGAAAACACTCGCTTTTGTTTTAGGCGCTTGAATTTGGGCAAAATTTGTTTGACCCCCTCAAACCTAACAGTACCCCAAGGGGAACCTTGACATAAGTACATTGTTTTTGCTACTCACACTCTTGAAAATGGACTTGTACCCATGCGCTTGTTGATGTACTAGCACTCAAGTGAAAATATTCCATGTACTCAGATTGAAGTACTCACAGTTTTACTCATGCAGAAGTACTCATACTCACACTCATGGAAATGTACTTAATTACAGCTCTGACTAGTGGCTGCTGCTCTCTTACATTTTGAAATTTTGATTTGTAAAAATAATCACAAGTTATACCCTGTGTTTTTTATGAGAGACATATTTTGGATAACGTAGGCTGTTGCATACCTTGGTGCAGGTGTTCCCATCTGATTGACGAGGCCAACTCGAGCCGACGTCCCAGGTCCGCCGTGGGCCGGCCTGGGTCCAGCATGTTTGGCTCCACAGGAGGCTCGGTGGGAGTGGGGCTTGGCTTCAGCCTCGGGGGAGCTGGTGCTAAGGATGAATTTGGTAAGCTAGGTTATCCTCTCGTTAGAAATGTTTGCACCGATTTCTTATTTTGTTCATAAGCCTGTCTTAAATTAGATTGGACAGAATAATGTATCATTGTAGACAATCAGATTTAATGCATCACATTTTCTGTTGTGATTATAAATTTGTGAAATGAGTATGAGTTTAGTTTCATTTATTCGCTGACAAAGATGATTTAGTCCTTCATCTCTTTTTGTCTCCAGATGATGACGAAGATGATCTTTCTATTGGAAAGTAAGTGGTTATTTGTGCTGTGTACATTCTGTTTGGCTATTAAAGTGACTTACACAGCATATCTGTATTGCAGAAAATATGCAGATACTGAGTGAATACAAAGCTACATGGCAATAAGTGATCATATCAATAATAATTAGATCCCAACAATCATTAAATTAATGCATCTTTTTATTTGAAGGGATTCCTTTGGGGATGATTCCTGGGCCGCTTCAGCTTCTGAAGTAGATGAACCTGTCAAACCTAAACCAAAGGTAAGGCAGAATTTCATGCCACAATACTTGAAAAGATGCCGTGATGGTTACGATTCTCGGTAATCAGCCGGTTTGAACCCTTGTGAATGTCCAGCCACACATTTTAACCCCGCAAGTACTGGGGTGAGGGGAAAGAGTGATTTTCTCGGATACATTTGCAATCGTTTCTTTGTGCTGAGCCTTTTGGAGTTTGCCGATCATGTCTTACAGTAGTTTCGACGCTAATTTTATGAAAAATTGAACACTCTCTCAAAACGCCCGTTTTTGGAAGTGCACAATGTCGTTCACAAGGTAAGTGCACTGATACACGTGAGGGCACGAGTCGTAATTGACCATGTAGCAACAAATCCTTTGTTGGATTGTCTTCAAACTTCCTAGATGTACTCATAAAGAATGTCTATATGCATGCCAAGTTTCAAGAGGATATGACATTGGAAAGCTCCCTATCAAAGGAGTAGGGAGGGGTGGGTTCAGCCCCCTTCCCTGCATGGCTGTGTGGTGGTTGCAAGAAACATAGCTCTTTTAGGGTTGAGGAATTCCAAGGTAATTGTCTTCAAGTGGCATCTTCTAGTTCTATTTAGAGACTGGTCATAAGAATTCTGGCAGTGCCTTTGATTGAGGAGGAAAGAAGCACAGCCTGAATGCTGACAAAAATACACCAGAAGATTCAGTTATCAGTCAATTTTTCTGTGCA